TACTCTTTAATGGTAGAGGATTATCCATAATACTAAAGAGAATAACAAATCGGAGATCTTTTTCTTTTATAGTTGTAGATAACATTATAAATGACACTTAGTATAGAGTATGAAGACAGTTAAAAAATCTCTGGCGGCAGCAACATTTGTTTTAGATCAAATATGCTTATTGCGGTATCTGATATCTGTAAAAAAAATACTCATAACAAAACGGATTAACATTTTATCATATAAAGCACGTAAGCACGCCTGAGAGAATGCATTGATCTAAGTAAAAGTATCAAAAACTGATAAAACAAAACTGATTCAAAAAAAATTAAGGCCAACACTTAGAATATCACATAAATTGCGGAATATCAGTACACTAAAGGACTACATTTTGCAGTGACATCAAAAAGCCAGCCGAAAAAACACCCAGCGAGGCAAGCTGACCATCATGGTTTACGAAGATGGAGTAAATGATAATTCCCGTTTCATTTTAATCAGTCGCTAAGTAGACTGCTGAAATAGTAGCGCAAAATTGAGTTTATTTGTAGTCAAGTGATAGTTAGCACAGATTATCTGGTTTACTCTAGTATAGGCTAAGCTGTGAAGAATACCAGCCATAGATACTTCAAGTGCTTAAGAAAAGATGAATACATAAATACATACAAACAGAAAATAACTAGTAATAATATTCGTGTTTAAATTATTAAAATATTTATAAGGAAAGTATAAATGAACAAATCTCATTCCAATCAATCATAGTAGTATAAGTGAATTGGAGAAAATGGTGACAATTTATCAGGGTTAAAGTTATGTTTGATAATTAAATGATTTATAAAGTAATTTTAGTTAGGTCATTGAAATCAGATAGAATTAGACTACTCAACAGTTATTACTATGAAGTAGTACGAACTAAAAAGCTTTGCATTCTATTTAGGTAATAAATTATAAGTCCCGTCCTATTGTGGGACTCCTCATCAGTGCGCACCCACGATTCGAACCCAGGACCTACCAGTCTCGAGCCAAAGTACTTAACCGATAGACCACGGAGCCAGCATCCCATGGTGTTTATGCCTGACTCCAACCAATCCACGAAGTTGAGCGACCGTTCTCCAATTGTCTTCAGTGAGTTGATATCTCACAATAGACGTGGTTTGAACTCCACTGGTCACTGCTTCTCACTAGAACTCCTGGATTTACCTCTCGAATTCAGTCGCTAGTGTGCATATTATTATTATTATTATTATTATTATTATTATTATTATCAGAAGGGGTTTTGTGGAGATTTAGTATTTTCATAGTTGAAAGCGTCAGTCAATTGAAGCTAGACCACCAGGGAAAACTATGAAAAAACTAAATCTCCGCAAAGCCCCTTCTGATAATAAATTAAAAACTATTGATAGCTAATAAATGTAATTCTGAAGTTCTAAAAGCATTTAAAAAAAGGACTAACCATTTGATGTTAAATTTTTGAATATGAAGTTGTGAATATTGTTGGATTGAGTTGAAGTTATGAACCGATATAATTTCGACCACTATCAGGAACCTAGATGCACTAGAGTTCCGTTTCGTCCTAGCATCTGACTCCGCACAAATGTACATCGTCGACTCTAGACACGGGAATACAACCCAGAACATTCGATCTTGGATGCGAACACCTAGTCTAACGGTGTTAATATCTAACTTCAATCGATTCACAATATTGAGTAGTCATCTTCCATTGTCCTTAGTGGATAAGTGCCTTACACTCGACACGGATTATCTTCAGTGGTCACAGATTCTTACTGAAACTCTGGAAATTTTCTCTCAATGTTAGTTACGAGTGAGCGCATGACAAATGTCTATATGCAAGACATAAGGTCTTGAGTTCAGTCTCAGTATGTGGGGTCGTGGATGCGCATTTCTGAAGAGTTCAATGCTCGAACAAAAAGACTGTCCAGTGCTTCCAGGTTTTCGATTATTATCTAACCTAGACAGGTCATTCAACTCAAAGTTTTATGGACTCCTCAACAGTGCACATCCACGACCCCGCATTAGAGGGATTCGAGCCCAGGACCTTTAGTCTCGCGCGCAAATGCTTAGTCTTTAAACCATTGAGTCGGCATCCAACAGTGTTAATGTCTAACTTTAACCAGGTCACGATAATGCACGGCCTTCCACCATTGTCTCCAGTGAATTGCTTACTTACAACAGACACGGTTGCGCTCCACGGCCGTCATGGCTTCTCACTAGAGCTCGAAAAAAATACATCTTGAAGCTGCGTGAAGGATTGAGGATGCACACTATTGAGGAGCCCCATACTAAGACGAAATGGCTCTCCAGTGCTTTCAGGTTTTCCATGACGGTCTAGCTCTAGTCGACTCATGAATTCACTGTTTAAATTACAACGATCTCCACAAACTCCCATTCTGATAAAATTAATGTTCATTATAAAAAGTGAAATTTCCAAACTCACCATAAAGGAGTATATTTATTTGATAGATAGTTTTATTATAGTTTACAAAATGTAGTAGTCGTTTATATATACTAGTGGTAATGACAGTATTTCCTCCTCATCTGATGTAATAAATAGTTATTATCTATCTCCTTCCCTTTACTTATTGTCTTAACCTATTTCACTAGTTAAAACAGAAGACTGTGAATCATCCTTTATTTTGATTAATATAGGCAAATCCCGAATAAGGTCAGAAGGTCATGTTAATAAAATTTAATGTTTCGATCCTTTTCATTTGTTTATTATCTAGATCAGAAGTATAACAAAATAAAGAAAGTATACATTGGTAAGATTTGTCTATTTGCTACTACAAAGTGTATTACCATATCGATCAATAACCTTACTGCACATAAATCGATAGAATTCAATCACCATTAAGGAATAAACAACATGATACAGAATACCAGTAAATTATCAATTAATGTACAAGAATTTTGATCATTTGCGTAGAGATTTACGAAATAAACAGTTTAATTGTAATATCTTTGACAGTAACGAAATGTTACATAAGTTTAAAACCAGTAGAGAATATCAGTTTTCTTAATACTTTAAAAATACGTTATTGTTAGATGTTTATTAACAGTGAATTTAGATTAAGTACTTTCTTTTAGATACCTTGAACACGTACCACGTATGTTTATCATATGACATCAGTTAATAGCCAATATGCAATGCAGCTTTTAGACTGATTTTGAGTAAAACCGACTTTGTAGAAATCATAAATAGAAGTAACCTATTCAAACAATCCTTAAATCCATAAAATAAACAAACTGAAGCACTAAGTTTCCAACATATGATTTTGGGTATTTTCAGAGATTCTAGCAGACCTTATGCCATATCATATCATTCAGTTCAAACCTCGATGCCTATAGGCTGAGGCTAGTAATAATACAAGTGTTTCTTCCTGGAACACCAACCACTGATTTTCATATATAAAGGAATTCAAATGTTGACTGAAAAATAGCATTGTGGTAGCTAAAAATATTTATCAAACTGCCACTATTCTCGAAAACCAATAAACTAATTCTTAAAACAGTTTTTGTCGCAAACTGTATCAATTGGAAACTGATCAAATATTTGAGAAAAACAGATGGGCTATTCACTGAAACTGTAAAATTTTCAGCAATGCACACATATGGCGTTGTGCTGGGTCGAAACCAGAACTTCAGTATATAAATAAATACACATATGTATGCTATATAATGCATATACATATGTGATATATATAATTATAATGTCTAAAGTTTGATCCTTAAAGAAATAGTACATAAGCACTTCTGAAGAACCCTTTGCTAGAATGAAACGGCCGTACCCAGCTTTTTTAAGTAATATTTCAACTTCAATCAATTAGTGAGCAAAAATAATACACAAATTAATTCGTTCTCCACAAAAATTTTCCAACTATACAAACATATTTCCTTCTAAATTTTCTTATCAGACTATATGAAAAATAATTTCAATAGTTGAGATCATGAGTCAATTGAAGCTAGTCCACCATGGAAAACCTCGAAGCATTGGATGGCCGTTTCATCCTATTGTGGGGCTCATCAGTAGAGCGCATTCATGATGCTGCCTCACGAGATTCGAACCCGGAACCTATCAGTCTCGCGCGTGAGCGCTTGACCTATAAACCACTGAGCCGGTCGGTGTTAATATTTAACTTCAACCAATCCACAAAATTGAGTGACACAACCATCATTGTCTTCAGTAAGTTACTATCTTACAACAGACCAGATTGAACTCCTTAGCCATCGAATGCTTCCAGGTTTTCCATGATTGCCTAGCTTCACAAAACCCTTCTGATATCTATAAAAAGTCACAAATGAATATAATTCTTAACATCAATTTATGATTTCATAGATGAAAGCATGGGTCAATTGAAGCTAGACCACCGAGGAAAACCTGGAAACACTGGACGGCCGTTTCGTCCTATCATGGGACTCCTCAGCAGTACGCATCCACGAACCCGCTCTCGCGAGCGAGATTCGAACCCAGGACCTACCAGTCTCAGTGACCAGTGGAGTGCAAACCACGTCTGTTGTGAGATAGGAACTCACTGATGACAATTGGTGAATGGTTGCTCAACTTCGTGGATCAGTTGAAGTTAGACATTAACACCATTGGATGTCAGCTCAGTGGTCTATCTGTTAAGGGCTTCGGCTCGAGACTGGTAGATTCTGGGTTCGAATCACGCGAAAGCGGGTTCGTGGATGCGCACTGCTGAGGAGTCCCATATTAGGACGAAACGGCCGTCCAGTGTTTCCAGGTTTTCGATAGTGGTCTAGCTTCAATTGACTCATGCTTTCATCTATGAAACATACCAAATCTCCACAAAAACCCCTTCTAGTAATTTATGATTTGTACAATTATAATTCACATATTTACATCATTGGTTAATTGTTGAAGTACGCTGATTGGTTAAAAATATTTACAGTCTAATTTTTTTTATTTTTTTTATTTTCTTATTGTCTAATCCTTAGTGTATTATTATTTAATCTTCAAACAGCAGATATATATATATATATACATTATATATATACATATATATAAATGCACCCCCCTATAGCATATTTTCATATTTAAAAGTCAATAATTATAAAAGTAATTTTATTTTATTTATTAATAAAGTTCATTAAAATTTAAATCTAGCGAAAATATTTTTGATACATTCCATTTTAAATTTTATTTTAATAAAACAAATTTAATTTCATTCAAATATTGAATTTTTTAAATTTTTAAAATAAAAAATTAAAAAAAAATTTAAATCCAATTTAAACAATCACCATAAAACCTCCTTCTAATTTACAATGTTTATATTTCTATGTATATATATAATTATTATTCAATCATCTATTGAACATTTAAATATATTTCATATAAATGGACAAAATATATTAAAATATGAACCAAATTTTAAATGGAATAAAAATAATAAACAAATAATCAATAATGATAATTATGATATACAAATTGTGAAAAAATCAAAAATGGTACAATTACCGATTGAACAAAATTTTCTAGAAAATTCTAAAACATCTAATTGGTTTAAAAATAGAATCATGAAAAATTTTTATGGAATAAAGAATAATGATGAAATAGAAAATAAAAATATTATAGTAAGTTAATAATTTATTAATTGACTTATGATTTTAACTATAAATAAAAATTACTAAAAAAGTTCCACAGAAAGATCTATTTATTATATGTTCACTAGTGACTGGCTGCATGAGGTATTTCCTGGAGTTCTAATGAGAAAACAATAACCAGTGGAGTTCATTCAGGTATGTTGGAAGATATCAACTCACTGAAGACATTGGTGAATGGTTGCTCAAACTTTATGGATTGGTTGATGTTAGAAATTAACACCGTTGAATACTGACCGGCTAATTGGTCTATCGGTTAAGTGCTCTGACGCGACACTGATAGGTCCTCGGTTCGAAACTCGCGAGGCAGGATCATGAATGCGCTCTACCGATGAGTCCCCCAATAGGACGAAACGGCCATCCAATGCTTCGAGGTTTTCCATAGTGCTCTAGCTACAATTGACTCATGATTTCAACTATATTTATAAAGATTTGTTCATCTTATGAGTATATGCCTTATTAACGAGAATATAATTTATGGACAAAACAGTTATATATAAGATAGCAGGTCTTGGATTTTGGCGCGAAATTCATCTGGACATTTGAATAAATACCATTTTGGCATTATAGTTTATGTCAGTTCATAATAATAATATTGGATCTGATTTTTAATTCTAACTTTCAACTGTAAATTCTACTCATTTCTCACATTAATCTATAATCTTCAATGGCGAGACTATTATTTATGGACGACCTTTGAACGAATCTTGAGTGACCTTGAGAAATATTAGAGAATCAGTAAACAGTCAGTGTAGAATAAAAAATATATTATACAAAACCAAAGAATTCAAGCGAATACACTCCTTTTACATGATCCAATACGGTTAGAAAGAGGTTCCAAGGTTCTAAAATCGCAATGCATGAGCTAGAGGAACTCTTCCATATGGCTCCATAATAGTCGGTCTCTGGAGCTATGATAAGGTAGCAAATATTCTCTCAGCCTCGATCACATAGATTCAATATTGTTTGCGTATACTCCGATTGTGTAAGTTTGTCATTTTTATCACGCATATGTCCCTATAATACTCATACCACTGAACAGCCGAAGCTTCAGTAACATCTGCGATCATTGCAGCCAATGTTACTGGTGCTTATATCATACAGATCGCTGCAACTATTATAATTTGCCCTAGTCTCAACCTGGATCGAGCAATAAAAGTTCCTATTCCAGAAGACTTCTTCCCCCAACATATATTACATCGAAAGACAACATCACGGTAGTCTGCCTAACGTCTACATGTCATTTTATTACTTCAATTACAAATAAAGGAACTTCTTAGTAGTCCCATTTATTGTAGACGCTTAATTATCACGTCTTCTCTAAAATCGACTGTAAACCGATTTTACATGAGCACCAGGCACTGACATTGGAGCCGTGACCTTGAAATCCCTCAAACGCTTCTGATTGGCTCGCCCATAAATTATAGCCTCATCCCTTAATTAAACCCTAGTAAGTGAACATTTCCAAGATCATTTTAGCGTTGTTCAAAGGTCGTCCATAAATTATAGTCTCACCGTAATACAATAGAGAATAGTTTGACAACTCCCTAAGTAATCGTGAAAGCAAATGAATTGGAAGTTATTTTATGTTAAGAATATCGAAGTGAACCAGTTAGAGAATAATATCCAGATTTACCCTGGTAACAGAACCATTTAATCCTTTCCCATGTATTTACCAAACAATTTATTGTTACATTAATCCTACCTTGATCATATTTATTTTCATCTTAATCTTTAAGGTAATATGATAAGACTATTTTTCTTCTTATTACTACTATTGCCTGTCTTACATTTCTCATCGATTTAATTTTTCTATCATTTCAGAATTATATTTTGGACATGTTAACTATACAATCGAATTATTTAAAATGTTACAGACATACACTAAATTAATGGTTATTAAATGAGTTCAGAAATCTATCTGCACTAATAACTGATTTTAGTTATTCTTTTTTCCTTCTGTCAAGTACCTATGTTGTATAAACTTAAATTCAGTGCAATGCAGTGTAGAAATGTTAAACTGGAACTACCTGATAGTTGTTTGTTACGTCCAATTATTGTTACCTTTGTAGGATTACTTCCATTACATCATTGAGACCAAGTACTTTCATTTGACACATAAATAAGCTGTTCTTTGGGCATGATTTAATTAGTATATTGAAGATTACTCAATTAAAATGACAATCCATAGGAATTCAGCAAATAATGTGAAGTACAGCCTAGTGTCACCAATTAAATAACAGCAAACTACCTGTACTAGCAATACCAATCACTTTCACCTTCACTGACAGTAATACAATTACTAAATTATAAGGGCAAAGTTTTAAGAAAGTAAGGAATCGTAGTAGGTGGATAATCGTGTTTTATGTATCATATAATAACATTGAATAAGCCCTAGTTTAATTCGTTTGGTTTTTTTGTTGAAATCATTTATGCTTAGGACTAGAATTGAACAACATTTTTTGGCACATGTTCATGTTGTGTGAATTGTAACTTAACTCTGAGATGTATGTATATTCAACTGATGAGTCACAAATTAGCCGAAATGTACTTCTTAGATTATACTGCAAGCCATCATCCATCTCTGCTCATAAGGACCCAGTTTGTTTGATTTACTGAATAATCATAGATGGTGGTCTAGCTTCAATTGATTCATGATTTCAACTGTGAATAATCATAGTTAGTAAACAAATCATTTATTATGAATTAGTCTTCAAGTTTCTAAGTATAGTTTAACATTCAGTCGGTAACAGAATTTCTTCAAAAATTATGGCACATAAATTAATTAGAGATGGATAGTGGCTAGCAGTGGAATCCAGGACGCGCGTTTCGTCCTATTTGGGACTCGTCAGCTGGATGTACCTGGATGTACCTTGCAGTCCTAAACACATCGATGGGAAGATCCAAACAAACAATACTAAGTGAATTCAAACCTCACCCCATCGCACAAGCAAGTGGCTATCAGGACTCAGTGGCCGAGTGGATAAAGCGATGGCGTTTTAAGCGAGGGTACTGGGTTCGAGTCCCAGAGTGAACATCAACTCTGAGATGCAAGTACATCCAGCTGACGAGTCCCAAATAGGACGAAACGCGCGTCCTGGATTCCACTGCTAGCCACTATCCATCTCTGCTTACCATGCTTGTGAATTAAGGTATATCGAGGCAATACACACAGTATGCACATATGCCAATTAGAGACTGACCAGTTGCAGTCCTAAACACATCGATGGGAAAATCCAAACGAACAATACTAAGTGAATACATAAATTAATTGCCGATAAAAACCTTTTTTTGTGTTGGGCGGTATTTCAGTAGTATTCACTTTTCTTTTCTTATGAAAAGTATCACTCCAATTTTATGACTTTAACAAAAATTCATGACTATTGAGTTGAAATAATTAGTCAATAAACTAATAACCTATCATAACTGTAAATGATGAAGTAGGTTGTGTTAGGTGTTAGATAGTACCATTTAGATTGATTTTACAATGATGACTTTCATATTGGGAATTAAAAATTTCTACTTTGTTTAATTGATTTCCTGTCAAAAAAGATTCTTTTTTATTTGATTATTTGTTCATTTAAAATGAAGTATAAGTCATGTAATTGGATGGTGTTACTTTGTTTTTCAAATTTAGCAAACAATAGAGCTTCAACGGAATAACAATAATAGTGTTATTAATCATAAATTAGATCATCAGAATTCAGAACAACGATCACAAAATGTAAGTTATCGGAATAGAAGTGTTTCGGACGTGCACAACGATACTGATTCTACAAATGATCCATTTATATATATTAATGTGAGTAAACTACTTGAAAGAGAAAAACGTCATGTTCCTTCAGTGGCACATTATATTCTTTCGCCGTTAGTAGCTAATCGAAAGAAAGATCCTCATAATTATATCTCCTTGACGTCGTCATCATCTTCAACATCATCATTACCATTAACTTATGGACCACAGAATTCACGAAAAGAAAAGCCAAATAAATTTGGAACATCAGTAAGACCTAGAAAGCTGACAAGTCAATCATTTATCGCATACAATGTTGAAAATGATATTTTTAACTTTGTATTTCAATTTGTACGATATAATCAGACTTCAGTAGATTTGATTACGGTAAGTTAATCACTTTTTTATTTTGTTATCTTCATTTTTAAGCGTTTTTGATAAAATATAGAGCCTGGATGATTTGCATATATACACCTTGAATAAAGTTGAGACACTTGCCTAGTTTTTAGTTCTATAATCTCAATCTTAAGTGGAGTGGTGGGTCAACGAGCTGTGAGTTTGACTGTCAGTCACTAATTAATAGGTTTGTACCCTGCTCTGATCTGTTTGAGTAACCGAGTAGTGTCACTATCATACACACTTATTGTTTACTTTGTAGTCAATTACACGGGTCCATGTCTAGTAAGTGAGCTAAAAGATCAAATAGATAAAATTAAGCGAGTACATTTTTTCACGTATTACATTTCTGACCAGTTTTAGTTTCTATTAATCTTAAATGTTAACCAAATAACACGTGTTTACTCATTATTAATGTTTTAGTCATCATAACTCTGAGAGATAATACTTCAGAGATGAAATTATTATTCACTGGTTGACATCACAAATAAAGATTTCCAATCATAACACCGATGAAGTCACCAAGAAACTGATCACTAGAGAATAAATTGCTATTATTCTATCAGTTCATTCAGTGAATTCATCAGTCATCAATTCAAATGTATGGGATTTAAGCAGTCTCAAAATCCCTATGGAATATTCAAAAATGAAGAATATTTGAACGAGCAATTGCTTTCAATAACTTCATCATCAGGCTCTGCTGTTATAAGTACATAATTATGATATTTTACAAAGGCCGAAATAAGGCATGTATTTATGAACATAGTAATTGAAAGCATTAGTCAGTTGCAGCTAGACCACCATGGAAAACCCTGGAATCGACCGTCCAGTGCCTCCAGGTTTTCCTTGGTGGTCTAGTTTCGATTGACTCATTCTTTCAACTATGAAAATACTGAAATCTCCACAGACCCCCTTCTGAATATGGTAATGTTATATGTTAAAAGTGATGAACGTTACAAAATATATACTTTGAAATTGTGTAATTCATAAATGAGAAAGGTCATTTAATAAAGGTCAAAATGATTTTGGAGTAAAGTGTCCAGTCACAATAGATTTAAGCTTATCGCTAAGTATGTAGTTTATGAAGATAATTTTGATGTTAGTTTGTTCTCTCTGGATGGTTTAGTCCTGGAGCTTTCATCGTCCTTCTGAACGACATCATCAGCACAAACTTCAGGTAGAAGTGAAATGATTGAAAGCTCCATGACTAAACCATCCAGCTCAGAGAACAAACCTACATCGAAATCACCCACCTGAGCTATAAATCTTCTCCACCATTATGAAGATAATGAACTATCTGACTCAGATATCCACAAACCAGTCCAAAAAATGTATCTTAACATTAGAGAAGAAAAATGTTACTTCTACTTTGTTTTATGTTTTTTTTTCTAAAATATTCGGATACAATTCAGTATACATAGTTGGTCTTTATAGATTACAATATGTATGTAAATAGAGAGAGAGAGAGAGTATAACCATATGTCTATAGACGCCTTTGATTAGTTTCTATCCTTTAGATGAATAACAAAACAGATTGTGATAATTTTGTCGCCAATTTATTATTATTATTATTATTATTCTACCTATTCAGATAAGATAAGAGATAATCTAGGCAAACGAATATAGAGATGGTTTTTTTCTTTACAAAAAAGAAAGATAAGTGTACTTATTCCCATTGAACACTGAATGTAATCTGTAAAAATATTATTGATCATTCAATAGACTGATTGGTTAGGTAATTGAATAAAAAATGAATTAACTACTAGGGAGAAATATACAAACATAACGGTATATATTCAATCTTCCAAATGGAATAATCAATTAAGATTTATGTTAATGATAACAATAAGAATAACAAAAACACAAATTATGTAATTGGAATTTTTGTATTTAAAAAAAAATTATTTTGTCTGATAGATGAAACTAGGCAAAGTATTTGAAATTATAACTGAACTAAGTAAATAAACAAGATCATAATTTATCAAATTGAATGTATGGAATAAATTATATACTAAAATTAAAACAATTCCCCCAGATACTAAATTCAGTGTTATAGGATAGTAGTTAGTGTATACCAGTAAAATGTTTGGACATAAGAGAAATAGTTGAAAGCATGAGTCAGTTGAAGCTAGAACACCAAGGGAAACCTGGAAGTACTGGAAGGCCGTTTCTTCCTATTATAGGACTCCTCAGCAGTGCGCATTCACGATCTCGCCCCCGCGAGATTCGAACTCAGGATCTATCAGTCTCATGCCAGAGCAATCAACTGATAGACCACTGAGTAGGCATCCGATGGTGTTAATGTCTAACTTTAGCTAAGAAAATACTGAAATCTCCACAAAACCCCTTTTGATAATAATAAGAAAAATAGTTTATCAACAGATGTCAGTTTCTGATGATAAGAATCTAATTTTCAATATAAAAGATATTCGTTTTAAACAAGATTAGTAATATGCATCTACTTACTTGTCATGTATGACATATTAAAGCTATAAGATATGAAGCATTTTTCATCAAGAGAATTTACTACCTTATGACCTCATTATTAATTAAGTTATATCATTATGAATAGAAGGGATATTAAACAAGAGACGTAGTCGTAAAATTTTGAGAAATAATTTATTTCACTGTTAAGATTTGTTGCATTTCTACTGACTGATCGAGGAAGATATTGAATTTGAGATTTGATCATGAGAATAATGATGCATGGATGTCAATTCGTGATAATAACTATATCTTTAAAAATAGGTTCACATAATTGAGGGAAATAGGGACAGCATTGTCAGAAGACCTTTGAATTTAAATCAGCTAAATGACATAGCTAATGATTAGAAAACCAATCTATCTCTTACAAATAACAAACCTTACCTGACTATTTAATTAATATGCTCACTAGTGACTGGCTTCAAGAGATATTTCCTGGAGTGCAAGTGCGTCGCAATGATCAGGATAGTTCAACCGGGTCTGTTGTGAGATATTAACTCACTGTAGACAATGGTGGATGTGTCGCTCAATTTCGTGGATTAGTTGAAGTTTGAGATTAACACCATCGGATGCCGGGCGGCTCAGTGGTCTATAGGTTAAGCGCTTGTGCGCCAGACTGGTAGGTCCCGGGTTCGAATCTCGCGAGGCGGGATTATAGATGCGCACTTCTGAGGAGTCCTACAATAAGACGATACAGCCATCTATTGCTTCCAGGTTTTCCATGGTGGTCAAGTTTTAATTGACCCATGAATTCAACTATAAAAAACTACTTAATTATGTGTTTATTATCTACAACAAGTAATAAACAAATCATATTTAGTTTTTCTATCATTTTTCATGTAAGCAATTGTCTCATTCATCTTTATGTAGTGAATCGACCAGTAATTTTTTTGCTAGCAACAGACCTTTGTTTAGAATTTCAAAATATAACCAATAAACTAGATCCTATCAGTGTTTAGATATCAGTTTAAAATTTAATTAATATAAATCAAAATCATTCACTATTGTACCAATCGGTGTACTTGGCTTTAAACTATTCAATTTTTGTGAGGTCTATCCAAACACTATACCATAGAAAATCTAGAAATATAATCGGTAGTACTAACTGTTATCTTCACTTGTTTATTTTGATAGATTCTTTTAAAATATGGAACCTTAGTAAGAAAAACAAAATTACCTGCGTAAAAATGAATGAATACTATTTCATGGTGTTATAATCACTACAAACTACTCACAATTGCAATTAATGAGGGTTGGAAATAATAAAGACTAATATACGTTAGTTAGTTAAGTTGAAACAGGTAAGAAAATTGTAATAATAAGAAATGAATAACATAAATTCAGGTTAAAGTTGATGCAAATCAACAAGAAGAAAGATCATAGTCTTGTAGTGTCGGTTGCTATGTTAGGCTCACACATTTCGACCTTGTTCATTATTCGCTTATTAACTTTGACTGTTTTTATGTAAGCGTATGTGCTTGTACTTCTTATCCTGTTAATCATATGTCTGTAACTTATTTCTGAATATAAATATCGATTACGCTTGATTAAATTGAGTTGGCTCTCCCGCTTTCTCCATCGCACGTCCATTTGCCTTGTTATTTTCTCTTCGCTTCTTTCCCTAAGTCTCTGTGGTTGTCTGTTCCGATCAACGATTATACAAAATATACGTATTCGAATTAGACTCTCGTATTCGACTTATTTAATTCAGTTATTCACTAACGCGATTTAAGTCGATGATTATATACGAGGATAGCCAGGGTGTATATTTTGACAACAATCATTCATACGATCTCACCGAAGTCATATCTTAGGTTACAGATGTCTTTTGAAATAGAACATTAATCAGGACATTCATATATTAAAATGATCATAAAGTTTTGATGAGGAATTTTATTGTTTGTTTATTTATTTATTTAAACACATAAATATTGGTAAAAAGGGACACCAGATAAATATGCGCCACACTAATCTCATTTGATTTGTGTGAGGGCTGTGATACTGCTCAGGTACCAAAACTGAAGCAGGTGGTTTTCTTAGGGGGTCACGCCCGCAGCCTTCGACCTAAAGATCTTATCCACAAGGTAGTGGAGCATCGTGAGGAGATGCAGTCCCATGGTATCCGGTGACCAACGATTGATTCATATGTCATTTGTTCCCTCAGGATACTGGAGTTTATGTGCACCATTGGTTTGGAATCAGGGTTTTCCAAATCTCCTAGATGAACTTTCTGTGTCCACCAACCCGGTTAAAGCACCGGACATTCGCTTTTTGTCCTGCCAATTTCGTAATAAATATCCCCGCCACGGGAATACTATCATTCTGCCATTAAATATTTTAGCAGAGAAGTCAAGTGAGTTCAATATTCAATAACTACTGGAAATAACTTGTTTCATTATTTATTCACTATCAAATAAAAAGATTCTTTTTTCTTTTTAAATAAAGGCATTCAACTTGATACGTGAATGGGAACGTTTTAAATTAGTACAACAAGTACAAATTCAAAGAGAGCAAAAATTAAAAATGTTACGCCATAAACAAGAGCATAGACGTCTTGATGAATATCATCGGTATCTACGACATTTTTCAACAATGCTTACCAATGAAAAAGCGAAACAATTTAAAAAAGCACAAAATTTTTATGATTTCAAAAAAATTATCATTGGTACCAAAGGTGTTAAGACAGATATTAAAAGTAATGGTCTTAATAATAAAGGGGAATATAATGAAAAGATGATTAATTCACGTTTGGATTCACATTCATTAACAGAACGACAAAAAATTCAAGAATCATTATCATCTTCACATTTAAATGATATACAGTTTTCCGGTGGAATTGGTGGAGGAATATTTGCCGATAGTTTACGACTACGAAAGATAAGTAATCGTGAAGGTCGTGCAATTGTACCTGACAGTAGCAATAATAATAATAATAAACAAAGTCCATTGAAAATAAATTTAGCAACAGAATTTTCACATATCTTGAGTAAAACTAATGAGCAACTACCAAAAGATCTACAAACCCATGAAGTGAAAATCGATTCTGGGGGATATCTCAATGAAGAGTCATGTAAGTCATGTCTTGATAATAATAATAATAGTACTAGTAGTGATAGTTTCATTTTTACTCGTTTATGATCTGTATGGTTCAATAGTTTTGATTTATGTGATTACCGATGTAAAATCTATTGTATGGAATAAAAGTTAAGTGATTAGGGATATCATAGTCTGTTTGTAACTAGGGATTTCACTTATATGTCGAAAAATCTGAGACAAATGCTATCATTTCAGGGAATTTAGTATTTAGGCATACAGGTTTAAATTTAAATTACCTAAGATTCCATGTCACTACCTCAGAGTATTCATATTTCCTACAATTAGGTTAGATTATCTAAGTGAGTCTCAGAGAATTCTGTCGATCTCATTCAGGTTACGTATACACCTTAGTGATAAATTTCACAAAACAAGTTTGTTACTTATAGCTCCCTACCCTGTAAAACTGAACTTTGTATACACCAATTTCCAGTTGTTTAACGTCGTGAAGACACCATGAAAACATTACAATTGATTGATCACTGGGTAGTGATCAATGTCATGCTTGTCAAGTTCTTCTCAGTGCTGATCGAATACTATCGATCAAGTTGCAATGTGGCCACTAGTCTAGGCGGCTCGACACTGCGTGCATTATGTTGAGATAAAATGGTGGTTGAAGGTGGTCATCAGGAAAACCTGGACCCGGGTTTCGTGCTACTTGGCACTCGTCAGCAAGGTGTACCTGTAATCTTGAGGGAACTGTTGCTCCCTGACGGATTCGACTCCGTGTCACCCAGCTTCATAGTCAGAGACGTTACCACTGAGCTATTCTGGCCGTGATCAGCCTCCTGTAGGACTGAGATGTAATCACAATTGATTGATCACTGGGTAGTGATCAATGTCATACGTGTCAAGTCAGTCTAAGTGCTGATCGAATGCTATCGATCAGCAATGAATAAAGTGATGTGATATTGTTTCCAACCCAGTATCAATCTATTTCGAAAGTTATCTTAAGAAGAAATTTATAAGTTTGACCAACTATTGCTGATTTTATACAAATAATTGAATGAAACGTGATAGCTTTATAATAGCTATAGAAATACGTCAAATAGTTTTCTTAAACGGAGATAAAATAATCTCTGATAAAAATTATATTTTCACTTTTCTATATCGTTGAATGTGTCACTGATCGGTGATAACGTAAGTAGAGAAAAATGCATTGCTGACGTCAAACAAACCATGATCTTAGTGAAAAAGCATTTTGAAATGCTAAATTTTATGATCGATTCTATTTAGTTTAGTTTTGTCTGCATTTTTGGTTTCTACAACGGATTACCTGGGTTACATATATTACAGTACTTGTTCTATTGGATTTAACCATGTTCATTTCCAAAACTAGTCACTAATGAAATCAAATATTTAAATATTTTTAAAAAGTCAATGGTTTGTCTGTTTAAACTACACAAGTAGTGAATTATTCACTATGAATATCTTTGATTCTTATATTCACTATTACAATAGTATGTTCTTTGCCAATGCTCTAAACCAAATAATGGTATTAGTTTTCTAAAACATACATAAAAAACCCCTATAAAGTAATCTAGTTAAAATGATTTAAACAGCATTATGATATTATACGATTAAACCTTTGAGTGCTTTAAGGATCTGGCAGACAGCTTCAATAAACCTTGAATTGTATTTTCGAAGTAAATTCTAATCAATTATTCAGTTGTAGCACCCTCAGCAGCAGTAGGTCTCAATATAAACAAAGGAAAAACAAAGATTCTCTGATACAATACAGCATGTACCAATCGAATTACACTTTAACGGAGGAGCTTTGGAGGATGTGAAAACCTTTACATATCTGAGCAGCATCATTGATGAACATGGTGGATCAGATGCAGATGTGAGGGCGCGGATCGGCAAAGCAAGAGCAGCATATCTACAACTGAAGAACATCTGGAACTCAAAACAATTGTCAACCAACACCAAGATCAGAATTCTCAATACAAATGTCAACACAGTTCTACTGTATGGTGCGGAAAACTGGGGAACTACGAAGGCCATCATTCAGAAGATACAGGTGTTTATTAACAGTTGTCTACGCAAGATACTTCGGATCCGTTGGCCAGACACTATCAACAACATTCTACTATGGGAGAGAACAAACCAGATTCCAATGGAGGAAGAAATCAAAAAGAAGCTCTGGAAGTGGATATGACATACTTTAAGGAAATCACTCGACTGCGTCACAAGACAAGCCCTCACATGGAATCCTGAAGGTCAAAGGAAAAGAGGAAGACCAAAGAACACATTACACCGAGAAATGGAAACAGACATGAAAATAATGAACAAAAATTGGGTAGAACTAGAAAGGAAGGTCGAGGACAGAGTTGGTTGGAGAATGCTGGTCGGTGGCCCATGCTCCATTGGGAGTAACAGGCGTAAGTAATTATTCAGTTGTAAATAAAATGATTTCATTAAGTTCTCATCTAAGTCATTTTCATCAAATAGAGATATGAATCCCATCATTAGATAAGTCTTTGTGTGGTCGAATCTCCCAGTTTAAAAATTCGATCAATAAGATATGAGTGGCCTAAATTTCTCCTGTATAAAATATAACTAAATATCGTATCATCTCGAGTAGAATTATAGAGTTTGGGTTTTGATTTCCTTTAACTTTCCCTGAAGAAGATCATCTTCGAATTTCAAACAACTTCAAATACTACATCTTCTAATTATGTAACATTCATCCAAATATATTAACATTAACCAGTATATATTTATCCTGTAGATTCGGAGGATGAATTAAGACGAGCTTTTGAAAATTATCAAGAATTCAAAGTAATATCTTGCCAACCACAGAATCGAACATTATGTACAGAAGCACTTCTTCGTCTCAATCATGATCACCAGCAACAACACCAAGAACCAAATCATGATCATCATCATTATCATCATACAGCTCTTATCATACCACGTGGTATACACATTCAAAGATGTGGCCAACAAGGAATCTCACGCTGTAATCATTATATAAATTCATTTTCAAATTATGAAGAAGAATATGATTATGAGAGATCAGAATTCACACCACTTTCATCATCTTCATCTAATGGTCATGTAAATTATGATGACCAATATTTAGATATATTGAATGATCGAAATCAGTATACATCTTGTAATTGTGAAACACTTGAAGAAGAATGTTTACCTGTAAAGGTTTCGTTGAAAACGTTTGCAGTTGCTGTGATGCAAGTAAGAATAGTGATTGATCCTCGTATTGTTTTGTTTCATTCTTATCATGTTTACCAAACTTATACCTCAAAAGCTTAGCTCATTAGTTTCCAAAGTATATAATCATACTACTTATGATTAAGGTTAAGCCAATGAACAAATTACTAACGTTGAAGTAAAAATAAAATATGAACCAGTCCAAAATAGGATGGAACGCGCGTCCTGAATTCCACTGCCGACCACCATTCTTCTCTGATCATAATGCATGTGACTCTAGTCAATATTGAGGTAATCCACACAGGTTGTACATGTCCAAAAAGAGATTGATCAATTCTAGTCCTAAACATAAATGGGGAGATTCAAACAACCAATAATGATGGTAGTTTTTAATGAGTAGTCTTGTATGACTGTTATAACTATAGATTAATTGTATCGTTTAATTTGCACAGTGAAATACTTGTACATGAATATGTATTTCTGAAGTGGTTATACAGTCATTACTTTGGATCTCTATAGTTTTCAGCATCTATCAAGAAATGAAAGCAATGAAATTTTAAAAAAAATCATCAGTCGTTTCGAACTCGTCCAGAAATGAAACGTTCCAAAGCCTAAATCAGTCCGGATTTCTACTAGTTTACTAAATACTAGTTATTGACTTAAAAAGGGGATGTACGCATGATGTGTAATTGTCTTTCAATGTCGTCCATTTTCATATACTACAGACCTATCATTTATAATTCATATTACAATTTTTCAGTAACTATACGTGGCGAGTATTTCTGTTATACATATTTTTGGGAGAATCTCTGGCAACACCAAGCAATCTCTTATTTCGATCTCCTGAAAGACTGATTTTTTCCACAACTGAATATTCCTTTAATCGGTAGTGATTAACACAGATTAGCAGTTTTCAATATACTGACTTAGATAATGTTATATTGAAGTGTTATTAATTGATTGACTTCAAATACAACATTTTTAATTCAATGTCTTTCTCTCAAAAAATAAAACAATTTTAGATTGTACCGTTTGGAAATTTCACTCATTCAACCGAATTGATTACATTAACAAATCATTTACAGTGTGGATGTCAACCACGGTTAGTTTGATTATATAAAATAAAATCAATTAACAGAAATTAAATATGTACCAGTCTAATTCATTACAAAATGCTTCCGTTTATGAAAAGTCTTATCCTATATTAATTTCCTTTGTTGAAAATATCCATGAAAGTTCTAGCAAGTCATACTTTTCATTTGTCTCAATGTTTGACACGTTAGTATCTCTATATTATCAGTGCCACTCGCATACAAGTATTAAGTATTTTAGGAACAAGTGGAAATCACAAAGGACTAAGTTTTTTGAGTAGGTAGGGTGATCTAGATTGATAAATGAGTCGCACGTAGATATTCCCTGTTGAATTTACAGAAGGACTGGCATGACTCAGCAACTGTCCACTACACATTTTTGATTTCACTCACACCTATAATCCCCCAAATGTCTTCAAGCAGAAGGTTACATTCACGAAGAAATTCGTAGTTGACAACACCGTGACTGCTAAAACGACTAGTGACAAGAAAAACTTGAGTACTTATGAGTAACAGTAAAATGTTTAGGGAAATCACAGCTTCCATAGACTGGCAGCTGATAAAGCATCGCTACTAAACCTGGAGTAATTGGGAATGATCGGGGTATACATATTATGTTATTGGCCGTGTTTACCAGAAAAAAAATATATACTCAGGTGTGGAAAATCCATTTTCTAATATTATTTGCTACAAAATTACACGATGCCTTTGTAAAATATGAAAATAATACATTAAATACATCATTTGCACAGCTTATTGCGTTGTCCTTGACATACTCCACTATTCCTCTAATTTTGTTGCTATTATGACTGCTTTCCAATTTCATTCCTGCTCTCTTTAGTTCAATTTTTTGATTGTTGCTACATACTACTAATATCTGTCAGCATAAGTAGCATATACCACAGTCGGACTTTCTAGATTTTACTGAATTTGTATTCACTTCTTTACTGTTTATTCACTTAACTCATTTGCCAGAAAATAAATGTTTGTGTTTTCAAGTTCAAAATTATATCTTCTTTTTCAAATAGATTAATATTGTCTATTCATATACTGTTGAGCTTGTTACATATTTAGTGGAAAACGAAAAATCACAAGTTCTATTGTATATACAAGAGATCAGAAAATTAAGATGTTTGATCTGGGGTTACTGTTACAACGTGTCCTGTTTGATATATGAACGTGCTGATTCCCGCCAATGACAGAAGAACGAATTACCGATCGGATCAATAATACACAAGGTCGTATTGAGCAGTCTTGAGTACTTATCGGTCCTGCTTTCTGCCTAGCCCAGCCAGTTTAGTCCAGAACACCAATAACAGCCTCTGCAATATGAATCATTATTCTCAAACATACTGAGTTTATATACCAACCAAACAGACCACATCGTCCATAAAATAGAAAATAACACTTGTACAAGATATGGCCTAATGTGGCTGTGAATAGGGGAAGCAGTAATCAATAGATTAGGGATAACTCAAGAATGGTAAATCGTATAATAATAGTCTATAGGTCGAAATAAAGCTTATAATAAGAGGGACACGAATATGAATAGTTTGGTTACTTAGCAATTATACAATAGGAGATATACATATCACATTGGTTTATAAATAGTCCTCAGAGTTACCATTCATAATTCTCCACGGGATACAACAGTTACTCATAGTCATACAACTATACAATCTATCTCAATTTCAAGATAATCTTATTCATTCAGAAAACCATGCCAAAATTACTGAAAGTTTCTTTTGGATCATTTTTACAAACAGCTTAGAGAAAATTTATAACTCATACCGTGTAGAAGTACTACTTAATCTTATTATAGTAATTCATGATGTTTAATCTTTATAAATCATAAGTGTTAACCACTGTTTATTAGTATTATTAAAAGATAATAATTATTGAAGAGAAAGAGTAAGGAATGTTAATGATCACTAGATCTAATTTTATTTGATTTATTGAGAGGTAGATCTTCCCATAAATCTCAAAGAATCCATTTATGATAAGTCACAAGTGTATAATTATTAGAATTTACAAATTCAGTTTTCCCTTTACTAATCAACAATTACAACTGGCTTATTTAATGAAAAAAATATCCTCATTACTTCATATTCCATTATATAACAAAATACTGATAAATATAATGTTCATTATCAAAAGGTAGTTTTGTGGAGATTTTAGTAATTTTATATAGTTGAGATGATGAGTAAGTTGAAGCTAGACCACCATCTCACGCGCGAGACTGATAGGTCCTGGGTCGAATCTCGCGAGTCGGGATCGTGGATGCGCGCTGCTGAAGAGTCCCACAATAGGGCGAAACGGTCGTTCAGTGCTTCCAGGTTTTCCATGGTGGTCTAGCTTCAATTGACTCATGATTTCAAATATATAAAATATGATGTTGTTTGAAGTGTTTTCTATGTTCAAGATGACTTTGAAAGACTTTTGATTTTTTACTAAATCTACTGTTTGTTTGATACAATCTTTGCTCATTTATAAACTTGAATAAAAAGCAGAGGGAAATATTGTATCTTGATAACATGAATTCAATTATTCTGTGGATTCTCCACAGCTGCTTTACAACCTAAACCCTATCGGATACCGGCTCAGTGGTCTAGTGGCTAGGCGTTCTGACGCGAGACTGGTAGGTCCTGGGTTGGAATCTCGCGTGGCGGGATCGTGGGTGTGCACCGCTGAGGAGTCCCACAATAGGACGAAACGGTCGTCCATTGCTTCCAGGTTTTCCATGGTGGTCTAGTTTCAATTGACTCATGATTTTAACTATTAAAATAACTATAATATCAACAAAACCCCTTTCTGAAAATAAACACTTGTCAAACAAAATCTAGTAGATTGAAATAAAAGAAAATTATGATGATTAGAATTATTCAAATTATTACACCAACTAGGAATTCCTGAAATAGTTCAATTTACTGTACGTAAAATTAAATGTACACAAATGAACGTATTGTATTTGGAATTCGTATTCAATAAGCAACCAAGTACTAATATTGAGTTGTATAGGTTATTATGTCATTAAAGATATTTACTAAGAAAATTACACTTTGTTTATATTAAGTCTTGTTATGCGTAACTTCATAATACGACTATATGTTAACAGAAATGTGTAAAAACTAATAAGTGGAGTATTTCTGCTTCCGTTAGATTATTATGAAAATAATAATGATGGTTTATAAGCAAAGATGGATAGTGGCTAGCAGTGGAATCCAGGATGCTCGTTTCGTCCTATTTGGGACTCGTCAGCATCTCAGAGTTGATGTCCACTCATGGTTTTATCTATCTTTTTTAGTATTTGGCTTTTAAACATACTTTGAAGGTATAAATAATGAATGGGTAGATAACAGTTATTAATGTTATTTTTCTAACATAATAGTCTTTGATTTAAAAAGCAGACTAAGAGTTTAGAAAAACCTATTCCATGAACACATGAATTTGTGAACTATATAGAACTCTTATTGATAAGTGCTTTGCCGCCAGATTATTTCTTCTATTACAATTAATATACACAAACGAGATTCAAACGAACAATACTAAATGAATTTAAACTTCCCCCCATTTCACAAGCAAGTGGCTATCAGGACTCAGTAGCTGAGTGAATAATGCGATTGCGTTTGAATCGAAAGGTATTGTGTTTGAGTCTCAGAGTGAACAACAACTCTGAGATGCAAGTACATCCAGCTGAAGAGTCCCAAATAGGACGAAACGCGCATCCTGGATTCCACTGCTAGCCACTATCCATCTTTGCACACACAAACAAGGTTAGAAAATATTAAGTATTAAGAAAGGAAGATTATTTGTTTAATATTAACATCAAGCTAAACATTCGATTAACAGTTTATTTTTTTTTAATGAATATAATGACAGTACATTTATCAACATTAACTTTAAAATATTTTTAAAATTTTCCTCATCTATTCTACAATTGGATCATAATGATAATATTAGCTGCAGTAATCGACTATGTATTCCTCCGATGAAATTTATTATGCACACATTTTCAGATTGTGCATGTGTATGTCAACCGAATGATAAACGATGTTTTGAATTGTTGGAAGGGAAACGTCAATTCACAGCTGAAGAGTAAGTATTCTTTTAAAGTGATTCCTCCTTATTATTCTATAACCCTATTACGTCATGTATTTAAAGGTGGGATGTAGCTCGAATAGCTTAGTAATGGCTGTAAATCAATTCCTTTAAAACTGTAGATATTCCTTGTTTGCGATATTCAACTATCATGAAAATTAAGCCCATCTTTTCGTACCAATTTCTTATGATCATCTAAAATATATAAAAAATAACACTCACAAACTGATGATCAAATTACAGATTGGTCTATAAAATTTGATCAGAGCTATAGATCTGACAAACGTGACATTGACCACAACCTTAGGATTATTTGGTGTAATGGTAGAAATCATATGACTAAATGTCCGGTTTAGGAAGTAGTAGTATTTCTTCAACATTTTATGAACAGATCGATGATTAGTTGTGAATTATATGTATTTGAGTACGCAAACTGATTGAACTCTGTAGGACTTGACGAAGAGTCGGATTATGTGAGTGTTTTCGTCAATGATGTTTAACTATTGAATATCAAACAAGGTCACCTTAGAATATGACTTCGTTTGACTATAGCTTTGAAATGTCGCCTACAATTTTAATATAGCGTCTGTAAAATAGTAATAATAAAAAGGTATTTAATTTGTTTAAACAGAAACACTATTTTTTTTGTTTTACAGAATTCCATTACCACTGAATGGTTCTTACATCTTACCACCTTGTCGTTATGGTGTAATGGATGATTTACACTTATATCATAGACATTGCCCTGGACCAACTAGAAATACATTTCCAATTAAATAATAAAATAAAATAAAACTAATGGGAAACTTATTTCTCTCACCTACCACTAACGAGGTGTCAAATAGTTTAACAATTATATATGGATTCTAGTAAATGAGCTACGGAAATGGAGTATAACTAGACAAAATAGTGCAATCTATCATATTTTTTCAGTTGTCTTCTGTATTTTCATTGATCTTACAGTTACCACCTCGATTTATACATACATACCATATACATACACGCATAGATACATACATACATACATACAAACTAGACATCAATACAAACATAAGATATTCATCAATATGTCTCTATTGTAAATTAGAAACTTTGCTTAATCATAAAAATCTCAATCGCTTCTTCAATGTATATAATATCAATTATCTATATTCTATTGAATGAATTTCTGATAACTAAATTTATTTCTAGTATACCCTCATTGGTGCCATCCGCAATAAGGTTTGATATGAAAGATCAAAAGTTATTTATAAAGTCTTATCTGTTAAATTGTTATAAAACATATGGTACAAGAATGACGTTGTAGAATGTGACTTGTTCAATGTGACGTCTTGATAATACTAGGTCCATTATATCTTATTCATTATCATCAATAAGATATTTGGTACTGAAGCCACCGAAATCTACTCATTGATTAATTTATATAGTCAAGCGGAAACACTAAACAAGTGTATTAAATAATATATTTTTCAGTCATTAAATTACATAAGTTTATTGATGAACGAAGAGAACTACAATGACGTAGATATGGAAGAACATATTTTGAGGACTCTTTATCATTAGTATGAGTCAATATACTTCCTGTAAAAAACTCTTCATGAGACGATATAATTGAAATGTTGAAGCACAATAGGCATGAGTAAGTATGCTTCTATAGATAGATAAACGAAGCTTAGAAACAACAAAGTTATATGAGTCCATTGAATACCGTGCTTTCGGGGATATGGAGGTCTTCATAATCTATCCAACCATCAGAAGAAAGAGGAAGGGTGAAAGCAATCAAACTTGTCTGACACTGGTCCACACTTCGAAAACATATGTGAGTTGTCCTCCATACACGAATTTGCAGTGTAGTCCGTCGTGTGAATTCCGGATGATATTGAAGATTTTCTCAAGTACACCATAGTGTCGAGGAAGATCATATAAAGTCCTCCTATCCACACTGTCAAACGCTTTCTCATAGTCAAGGAAGTTGATGTAAAGTGATGAGTTCCATTCAATTGATTGTTCAACGATGATCACTAGTGTTGCGATTTGGTCTGTGTACGACCGATTCTTATGGAATCCGGTCTGCTGATCTCGAAGCTGGATGTCTAATGAGTCTCTCATCCGGTTCATCAACACTCTGTTGAAAAACCTTTCCTGGAACCGATAGTAGTGTGGTTTCTTTGTAGTTTTCACAATTGCTCAGATCTCCCTTCTTTGGTATCTTGATGAAGTATTCTTCTTTTCAGTCTGTCGGTACTTGTTCTTCCTCTCAAATCTTCTTGAATAGGACATTGTATTTTCAGTTACTTCAGTGCTTCAGCTGGTTTGTTGTCTGGTCCTGCAGCTTTCCCACTCTTCGTTTGTCTGATAACCATGCTGATTTCTTCGATCGTTGGTTGAGTGGCATCTATAGGAAGTCCCGCGTGGGGTGCTTCAATGTCTGGTGGGTTCAGTGGCGCTAGTCTATTCAATAGTTCTTCAAAGTGTTCTACCCACCTGTTCCTCTCTTCTTGAATCTGAGTGATTATCTTGTCTTCTTTGTCGTTGACTGGTTGCTGTGGCTTACCATATTTCCCTGCTAGTTTCTTCTTTTTATCATATAGGTGTCTTATTTTTCCTCCTTTCGTAGCTATTTCCTCTGTCGTTGCTAGGTCTTCCGCATGTTCCTGCTTGTCAGCTCTAATGCTCATCTTCACTCGTTTGCCTCTGTGTATTCATTGTGCCTTGACTATCTCTGCTCTTGTTCGGCTGTTGTTAATTTCTGTATTCTTGTTCTTCCTTTCTTGAGTCTTGTCCAAGGTTTTCGATAGTGATCTATTCCCTATAATGGTGCTTCTTGCGTCCCAGCACCTCTTGACATGTTGAAGTTGGTGCTTGTTTGATCATTCTCTTCCCGTCTTCCATAGTGGTTTTCTCTTCTTCGAATAGACCTTGTAAGTCTTGGAACATGTTGTTGAGAGTTATCTTGGATTCATTGAGTTTGTTGGTATCTCGAAGGTAGACTGTATTAAACCTTTGTAATATTGTTTATCCAGTTATCCAGTGTTTCTTTAGCTTCAGTTTCATCTTAGCAACTACCAGGTGGTGATCTGAAGCTACGTCAACTGATCTTCTGTTTATCACATCTCCCACTGTCCCTCTGAAACTTTTAGTGATGCAAGTATGTCTATCTGGTTCTCTGAAGTGTGATCTGATGTGACCCATGTAGCTTTCTATATGCGTTTTTGTGGAAATATTGTGCCGCCTATGACCGTGTCATTGAACGCACGTAAATATACAAATTTCTCTCCATATGTTTCTTTCTCCCAGTTAGTCCATGTCGTTCCATGATATCATCGTATCCGGTGTTGTTCATTCACGCTTTGGCTGAGACCAGAGTAACCCTTTCCAAAAGTCAGTCAAAAGCCAACCGTCACCAACTTTACCGCTCCACGCACGACATAAGTGTCGATGGCCTGGAAATATACAACAGTGAAATGGAGTAATGAAGATAAATCTTTGACGAAAGTCAAGTAATAAACCCGAGATAAAGAAGACTGAAGAACAAAAAGTGTAAATACAAGAGGCCTGAGTGCAAGGAAAGAAAAGAAAGAAGTATCAATACAGTCCATTAAAAACTTTAGGTGGATTTTCAGCTATTTCACTCTGTTCCGTGAGATGAAACCTAAGTTTTTTATTTGTAGCAATCCTCACGTTTGTGACCTAATGTGTGACCTGAACCTTGGTCGTTGAAGTGATCTGTCCTATCCCAATGATCCACTTGCGTCTTAGTGACAGAAATTAATATCCGTGTTTACAACTAGGTTCGTGAACTCAGTGCTGGTAGTTACCCCTAGTTTTATCTATAGAAGAAACCAGACTAGTAGTTACAGTAGGTCATCATTTAGATCGTGAAACAGAAAAGTTTTAGCACGAGGCTCTATTTTCAAACACACGAAGATATCATCTATCAGTATGGAATAATAGGAGATATAACACCTAAAAAAATAAGGAAGTAAATAAATATCGAACTATAACAACTAAAAGTCGGTAGAAATGTGAATTTCAGGAGACGTCAGGTCAAATATCCGGATAATATTGTAATAGTATGGTCTGAGCTTGTGGCTATAAATAAATTCATAAAATCTATAGCTCTGTATGTCTTTGACATTTAATGATGACCTCATTGGTTTTAATGGACTCATAGAGCTGAAGGCCCCCGATCACTCAACCGCACTAGATCATGAGTGGGTACAGCATCTCTTACAACCCTTTAGCCAGCTTAGATTGTTCACTTCTCAATATATTGACAGTCTATCAAAAATATCTTCAAATCTCTTCTCTTTTGACTTCCAATTTTACTGGGTTTGCATATTTCGATTATAAAATGTGTCACTGGTTACGTTGTTGTGAGACTTCGAATACTTTTGGCATCTCCAAGCTCGTCGCAGAGGCGAGCTCTAGAGATTCTTAAGATCACCATAAATTTAACCAGCTTTTGATAGCTAAATTTATATCTATCAGAAATGAGTTGTTAGTGGATTATATAACAATGCAAAAAGTTGATGTGATTAATATGTTTATTTCTTCCACAAGCCCTTCTGGTTGTACATCGAAAAGTTAACCACAAATTCATTCGTACGGCGTTAGACCATCCATCTTCAACAACCTCAATATAAGATCCTCTCCCATTATTCCAGTTGTTATGCGGATGTCCTCAGATTATAAACATAAGGCTTATTCGTTTTAGTAACTGCTAAGGTCTGATCTATTGGAGCAAGCTTTTATTATATTTCTGGTCTCAGGTTATATATTTGTGATGTGCAAAGGTAGTGGGAGTTATTAATTTTTGGCACCGTGTGATACGTACTCTAGTAATCACACCGACCAGAACTCAGTCCGGAGAGAAAACATTGTAAACATTGGAGGCATCAAATTGTGATCCAACTAACGCTTATGATAACGTACAAACAACTGTCGGCTGCCACAAGTGTCACAATATTACGAAATTAGTTGTTTTTGACAGTGAAAGATGACAGAAGGGGTCTTAGTCAAACAAGAGTTATGCAATGACCTAGGTTATTCTGGACAACATTGTAAACACTAGATCATTTCTCAAAAAGTTGTGATGAATGGAATTTTACAAACCTCATCAATTGTAAATCTCCTTTGCTTTGAGAGGGATCTTAAGGATCTCTAACGAATGTCAGTCATCAGTGACTGGTTGTATAGGCGCAACCTAATTTACGAATCCTTTCTACTTCACGAATTCCGAGCTAAAGTCAGAAGCATTACATTCGTGAAAGAGTTACTTTGAAAAATTACCTCTCCATATTGCATAGGAAGAAAAACTTGAGCAAACTGTTAGAAAGTATGAAATTGAACGGAAATATAGACAAGCACAGATTATAAAGAGACTGTAGTTTGTACAGAAAAGTAAAAAATTTTTAAAAATTCAATTGGGATAACTTCGGGTCGAACTTTGGTATTCGGAGCTCGACAACGCTGTTACACGTAAGAGCTATCGAAATGTCAAGAAGTGTTTGACGTAAGCTGAATAGGAGTTGCAATGGATGTGCAGCCAGAGGTGTTCTGGTGTGAATGCTTGACTGAGCGCCTCTAAGCAGGGATGTATCCAGTAACAATAATGTGGGACAGCCGCAGAACTGTTTAGTGTTTTTACTTATTTCCCTCCACAAAATGATACATATGAAGGAAACTGTGGGGAGTAGTGTAACGTCATGTACTATATTACACCTACATAGTTTATTCTAGTTTCTGGACAAGCCAATTCACCTATAATGTTATGAGTCATATTTTGATCTTGTTAATTATTCGCTTATTGACGTTGACTATATTTTTTATATGAGCGCATGTGTATGCACATTTCGTATCTTATTCATCGCATGTCTGTCATTCATTTTTGTCTGACTATAAGTGTTGATTAATGCTTGCTCATAGCGAGTTGGCTTCCCAGCCATCTCCACTATGCGTCATCTTTCCTTCGCTTACTTACATTTGCTAGTGTGCTCACTGCCTTCTAGCCCATGTTATTTGTCAATAAAAATGTAGTTGCTGCTTCCCTTTGTCTTCTGATATTATACACCGTTCAGATTGATATAATAACGGTTATCGAGACGATCGATTAATGAAGCACTCCACTACAAAACTAATAGGTGCAAAATAACGACAGACTTTCTGTGAGACTAGTATGACCAGACGACATGAGGAATGAGGCATTCCTGATATATCTGCAGAATCTCGCCCACTGAAACGAACGATACTGAACCGAACTGTTGAAT